TCATCCTGAGGAGTTGTAACGTCGAAACATGTAGAGTCGTCAACTTTTTGAAGGCCATAGACAGGCCTAAATAAAATGTCATCCTGAGGCGTTGTAACGTCGAAACATGTAGAGTCGTCCACTTTTTGAAAGCCTAAATAAAATGTTTGTAATTGTGTACCAGTTTAACTTTGAATATTATTTATGATTTTAACTTTATACACAAGTGCCAAAATACTATAATTATCTTATACAATTATTTTAAATGATCTTTTTATGAAGCGGTTTCATAAGAGCTATTCGAACCAATAAGCTTTAAAATGTTTATTTGTTTGTTTGTTGAACTTCGCGCAGGGCTATCTGTACTAATTGTCTCTAATTTTGAAGTGATAGACCAGAGAAAAAGACAGCTTGTTAACATCACCCATCGCCAACTCTTGGGCTATATTATTCGAATTGTGGGACTGACCGTAACATTATAAAGTCTCCACGGCTGAAAGTGCGAGCATGTTCGGTGATGAGATTCGAACCCGCAGATTTCGAGTCGAGCGCCTAACCCACCAGATCGTACCAAATGCATGATTGGTGTCGGGATTCAATTTCCTTGACTCACAGATTGCAAGACAAGTTCTCTAACTACCAGGTCATGTCAGGCCTACCTAAAGTCGTAAAATGAAAGCTATAAAAGTTTTTTTACTGTTTTTGTAAAATGCTAAATTATACGATAGCTAAAAAAAATTCGATTTCAAATATCATTTTCGAAATAAAAAATATAAAATTCTCAGTATTTCACTTCTTAAAATTCTAAAGTTTTAGGTGACAAAATCGAAACAAAATTTGTTGTTTTTTATTGAATAATTATGAATGATTGTAAGATCAATAAATTCATTATAGTAAAACTCGTAGGATCTAAAAGATTGGTAAATCAGGTTATAACAAACAACCCTGTTAAAACTAATGCCTTTCGAAAGAGATTGTGTTTTTACTTTTTTAATGGATTTGTTTAGTTGTTTATTGTTAAGCGCTAAGCTATACGATGTACTATCTGTGCCGTGTCCATCATAGGTATCGATACCCAATTTTTAGCGTTATAAGCCAACAGACCCACTGCGAGCTACAGGAAGTATCTTGCATCTTAATTTTACCTGTTTTAAATAAAAAATACGTTATTGATAAACGAGTAAAAGCAGTTATATTTATATATTTACAAAAACATAGTCACAAACGTTTTTTTTTTTTACTATACGATATCAAATGTTAAGATATTAGTAGTGCAATGGTGTAAATATAATTATGTACAACTATTCTAATCATATCAGTTCCGTGAGATATAAAATTTCATTTTGTCTCTCCTAAAACGGATTTTAGCAGTTAATAAATACCCAATCTATTTGTTTATTTTTCAATTTCATACAACCAGGTCAACACAAAAATCTACATATATAAAGGACAGACAAAGAAACTAGGCTCCATAAGGACAATAAAGCAGAGCGAATACACTGTCTATTAAGCCCCCCAGTGGCACAGCGGTATGTCTGCGGACTTACAACTCTAGAAACCGGGTTTCGATACCCGTGGTGGGCAGAGTACAGATAGCCCATTGTGTAGCTTTGTACAAACAACAACTGTCTATTAAATTAACAAAAACATGAAGATTAGGAGTAAATATGAGTCTTCAAGAACACAATTCTCCTTATCGTCTGCAGCCAGTTTTCAAGAATTATAGTACTTTTTCGTAGTGAAAAGAAAATCATTTGAAAAATAAAAATGAATAAAAACTGGTTACTAAGAACATAATAATTGTGATGAGAAATAAGTACCACCTGAAGTTGACACTGAAGTATATACGTGAAGAGCATAATGAAACTTAGGTTTTTTGGTCAATAAACACTAGTTAAATAACAAAATAAACTGGAATTCTTCCAACCTCCTCTTCTCTGACCATCATGGTGTTAATAATCATTTTTCTTTTTGGGGAGGAATAATTGGCATTTTTGCAAATCCAGTTGGGCTTATGCCTACTAAGAAACAAATCTGTTAATATTCAAAAGATGAAGAAACTTCTGGCTTTCAAAACAGTGACACATTGTTTTAAAGGCGTTTGTGCGTGGAAAAAGAAAAGTACATTGTCAGTACTGTCAAGTATCATTTGAGTATATTTACAAGATTTAACGAATAAAGGAGACAATAAAAATGGCAAATTAAATCAGGTCATGCAATATTTAAAGACAAGTTAAATATACGTCCAAGGACTCCAGAGAAGTCTTGCCAACAGGCAATACATATGGGTTAATTCAATCTTACGTAAGGTGAGGTTTACACGGGAAATTCCACTCCACAGCTACGTGTTAACATCATTCGGGTCCATTGCATAATACAGCTGGAGGCATTTAAAAAAAACTGGAGAAAAGGGGATTATAAATATAGCCAAAAATCGGTAAGTCATACAGATGATTTTTAAGGAAATATAGTTTACATCGTGCATGCGCTGGTCACGCAAGGTTGTCGTGAAACGTGGTGAGAGCCAAAACAGGCTTGGTATAACCAAAGCTACTTATAAGAAAGAAAAAAAAAGTTGTTTGTTGCTCAAAATTCTTCGTATATTAAGAAAAAACCAGAAAATTACTTTATGTTTTGTCACGATGAAAGTTAAAGTTTTTATTAGTTGTTTCGACCGGCTAGTTCCAATAGTACACTTACCTTCATAATACGGTTGAAGTTTCATATTGGCTAAGTTGACACCGTATTCATAACTCCATGATCATTGCGCTAATGTATATTAATTGTAAACAAACAAAACAAAAAGAACGATGTTTTTTAACATAATGAAATATAAATTATCTATTAGTTGTTTCAGTTGACTAGTTTTGGCAACACAGTTACCATCATCAGGGCTCATGAATATGGTTGTAGTTTAATATAAGCTAAGCTGGCACCGTATTCACAAGCCCCGATGATGGTAAATGTGTTACCGAACCTGGTTAGCAGAAACAAAAACTAGTAACCAAAAAAAATTATTATAAAATAGTTAGGATGTGAAGATGAAAAAAGATCAGAATCTAGAGAGCGTTTGGGATGGGAGGAAAATCTGCATTACCCAAATCTGTGTATTTGAAAACAATATTTTTAACGTTTGTAAAAAATATTTTTGCACTAACAGAACCACTGTTTATTTTTACGTGTAAATCAAAGTGATGAATTTGAGCATGAAATGCTGTAATATTTATTATTTCTAATTCAGCAGATTACATAGTTTGTTTGTTTGTTTTTGAATTTCGCGCAAAGCTACACGAGGGCTATCTGCGCTAGCCGTCCCTAATTTAGCAGTGTAAGGCTAGAAGGAAGACAGCTAGTCATCACCACCCACCGCCAACTCTTGGGCTACTCTTTTACCAACGAATAGTGGGATTGACCGTCACATTATAACGCCCCCACGGCTAAAAGGGCGAGCATGTTTGGTGTGATGGGGATTCGAACCCGCAGACTGCGAGTCGAGCGCCCTAACCACCTGGCCACGAGATTACATAGTAGTAAAATAGCTATTAATATTTCGATTATTCAAACTAATTAGATCATCTACATATGTAAACATTAAAGTAAATATATTTGAATTTAAGGTACGTTTTGCTTATCCTTCCCAGCGGCTTGAATTTACGTAACCCATTTTCTGTTATTTTTCCCAAGACTTCACTGTTTGCTTAGGACTACCTTTCCACAATTGGCTGCTTGCAGTGATGAATGTTGACCTTAGCTGTGGTCTTGAATACCCATATATATATAGATATATATATACTCCTAATTTTAAGATAACAATTTAATTTCATCTACGAAGCTTACAAAAAGACTTGTGTTTTTGAAACAGTGTAAATCACACCTATGTAAGTTCCACTTTCGTAACTAAAACTTGTCATGTTATATGGAAGATATTTTTACTTTTCCCACATGTGGCGTAGATTTTAGTCTATATTTTTATTTCAGTTTTTCATGTGCGACATAATTTTTTTTGTTACTTTATTTACTTTTAAATGAACTATATACTTATGAAAAATATTTAGAGTGCCGAAACTGAGAATCTAAGCCTCGTGGTTCGTGTACCATTGCCGTGAAAACGCATTATTCGAACAGATAAGACAATCCTAAGAAATGGGGATATATGTTGTTGACTAGCTGCCTTCCATTTAGTCTATCAGTTCAAAATTAGATGTCACAAGCTTCGACTGCCAGTCTAGGTACGGCCTACAGTAATCGATTTGAGTCTCTTTGATCTTCCCAGAAATTCTAATTTCATACAATCATTCGCATTCCTTTTTCGTTTTTCATGTGAATTGCAGCTATGTATTAATTTCGTTTACTCCAGGGGTTTAACGCTGACGTATACATCAATGAAAAAACTCGCTGTAACAAATGGTCGACTGGATATTGTAAGATATGTGGCACATCGATACTGGAGGTAGGTCTAATGAATGTAACGGTTTTTGATATTGTTCAACATTTCTGTTCTGTAAAAAACAAGCTGAAAATTAAGTACGTTTAAAAATATGATACCTTACACACGGCTGTTCCAGCTATTGGTAATATTGTCATCATATATCGAACAACTTCACGTTCAAAAACACGATACTTTACAAACGGCTGTTTCAACCTTTAATGGTATTGTCATCATATATCAAACTTATCTTATGTTAACAAACATAATACTTTACAAACAGCTGTTTCAACCTTTAATGGTATTGTCATCATATATCAAACTGATCTTATGTTAACAAACATAATACTTTACAAACAGCTGTTTCAACCTTTAATGGTATTGTCATCATATAACAAACTGATCTTATGTTAACAAACATAATACTTTACACACGGCTGTTTGAACCTTTAATGGTATTGTCATCATAGAACGAACACATCTCTCTAAATGTTAACATTGCATGTCTCTGTACCCTTTATATTCTCACACTACTTCGATGTCAGCATTGGTGGCAGTGCTCTTTTTCTTTTCGTTTTTTCTAAAGTACAATTCGAATATTGTATAAAACTAACTCAACTGTGTCTCTTTACCCAATGTATTTAATTCGGATATTTTCTTATAAACGTACTTTGTTCATCCAAAAAGCTATTTTTTTAACATTTTTAACATACAAAATGAACGATTTTGTTTTCATTTAAAACAGTTTCTTTTTTTTTTTACATATATCTATATATGTGTCTAAAAACTTTTGAAGGTTGACCCCTCCGTTGATGCTGGTCATATCACTGATTTTTCTCCTTCCTTTGCTTTCTTCTGGACCGTTGTGGTACAAAGTTGTAGAGCCTCAAATTCAAAATTGTAGAGACACCTGGTGGGCAAACGCTTTGTATGTCAGTAACTTTATGGGATTATACAACGTTGTAAGTATTATATACTATACAAAACTTAACTTCTGTCTCTAACAAAAAGAAAACTCAGCTGTCCTTTACTGTCTTTTGATATGTAAAAAAAATGTTTGCTAATGTTGATGATTGCACGAAAGAATCGGAAGCTCATCAGCAACATAGTTCGTCGTGATAAAAATATATTATTATGTTTTCAATCATAGGTCGTTTATAAAATAGGGAGAGAAAACAGTTGCATAAAAGTTGTAATAGCAGAGGAAAAATAGCTTACTTTATTTCTAATCTGGAAATGAATAAATTTATGTATTCTTTACGGAAATATTTCCATTTTAACTACAACTTTTTTTATTTAGTAAAGCAGAATAAAACTTAGTTATTAAAAAGTCGTATTCTAGTAAAAACTTAGAAAATATTCAGTTTACATTAAAAACCTAATATGAAATGTACACCTTCACAGTAATCAATCTATTTGTGTCCGTTGTCTGACTTATACTAAACCTAATGTTATCTGATGTAGCCTAAAACTCAGTGCTACCCGTATGGTTGACACTACATAGTGAGTGATATATCGATATCATAAGCTGTACTACTTATAGTTTTAGGTTAGAATTATTTCAAACTTCAGTGCTTCTACAGTTTGTTTTTATTTAGTTCTAGTTTAAAGCGTCACGCACGTTATTGCTCTTTCGAAAATATGTTCCTAAGGTTTGTTTCTTTTATAGGTAGTTGTCAGTCTAGGGCAGGGGTCACCAAACTTTTTTCACAGCGGGCTAGATAACTGAGAGAATGACGAGCGCGGTCCGCATAACCATTTTGTTCAATACAATACAGTTAATACATAAAAAATAAAGACAGCAAACATGTTTATTTTCCAAAAAGTTATCAAAGAAGGCGACGTTAGCAATTAGATAGTTATATCACACCCAGTGCGCACATATCCGAATCTCACAAATTAAGCAGCAAAAAAGGTTTGTGAGATTTGTGAAACTGACGGTTAGCTTTTGAGATATCATCAATATTTGCTTTGGAATTGCTGCATCCAACCAAGAGAATTGCTTTCAAATGTTCATCAGTCAACCTCGTTGGATGTTCACGTACTTCATTTTTGAAAATGTTTGCTCACAGACATAAGTTGTTCCAAACACTGATGCTATACCAGAGGCAAATTTCT